CCATCACATAAAGCACAAGAAAGTGAAACACTGAGTTCCAGAGCCAGGTTGACCAAGAAAGGCACCGCAATGGTTTCTCTGAAAATCCAAACTGGAAGCTCTTTGTGTAGAGACAAGGGCTGGAGGAAAAACCAAAGGCCTCTCATGGAGCTTCTTTGTACCACTGTCACAGGGTAGCAATCTGTGTGGACCAGCAGACCCTTCAGGGGCTTTATTAGGAGGTTTGCATAAAGAATCCTGTATCATTTTGCCAGAGGGTAAACCAAAACAATTAGAAACAACCCAACCCAACTTCCTCTTCCCTAAGACCAGCCCAAGGACAACACATCCCCTGCTGATGAATGAAAGAATACATGAATGAAATCTTTTTGGCCCAGTTCAAGGGGAGAGGCTGTTTCCCAAAGCAGCAGTGGAGAGAAGCATTACGTTATCGGGCTTGTTTCACTGCTGGATTCTGAAAGCAGCAATTTCCCAAAAGGCATGGGCTTAATTACAGGAAGGGACGCATATCAGTTACGCTTGAACACAAATTGTGGGTGGATTTGCACATTTCACCCACAGTCCAGCATTATTAATGGGGAGAGTTCATCACTGCTAAACTCTCTCTGACGACAGGACAGGAAAATTCAAAATTCAAAACACTTTGCTGAGTCCTTGCTTCATTTGTTACTCATTGGTGGGCGATTTTAAGACTACTCCCTGCCTTCCCTTTTACTATCTCTGTGTACAAGAAAGTCTAAAACTTAAAACTGATCCACAGACTTAACAGCAATAAATCACTAGAAAAACTTCATCCTGGTGGCTGACAAATGCAGCTTTTCCCAGTTTAAACTTCCTCTATTTCATTACTTTCCTTACTCCAGGACACTCTAGGCCAAAACACATGTAAAGTCTGTGCCTCTTTTTCAAAACAGGTTTTAGAGGATAGTTCCATATGGAAGATCTGAGTGAGAGGTCTGTTCAGCCTCTTCTCTTGGAAATGGTTTCTCCCCTGAGAATCGGTTGCTTTTCCACCATCCAGGGAGGAAAATTGGGGGGGGGGATTTTGTGTTTTGCCCTTGAGATGGAGTTAACTGAAGAAGTGTGCATATAATAATAGTGTGCCATCAAGTTAATTCTGACTTAAGGAAATGCTTTCCCAGGTTTTAAAGGTATAGAATACTCAGAAGTGGTTTAGCATCTGCTTCCTCTGGAGGGCACTCCACACCTCTGCAACTTGCCCAAAGCCACGCAGGCTGGCTCTTTTTCCACAAGGCGCTGTAGGGAACTGAACTCCCAACCTCCAGCTCTGCAGCCAAGTACCTAATCCATTGAGCTATCCAGCCAAATCAGTGTTTAGATATGCAGATAATAAATGGACACAAGTACAAATCCACATTAGAACTACTGCTATATTACAACCAACTGTTGTCGCAATGGTCAGAATTCTCTCCTTGGAAGGGTCCCCTACAGCCCTACTACCCTACAGATCTAGTCTTTTATGGTAGTGGAGTCTATGGCCACCTCTTTCTTCATTTTGTCCACTTCTACTATCATCTTCCCTTTTGATAGATGGGAAAGTATTGTGTCCTTTTTGAAACACATGCGGCAACAAGGAACCACTGCCATGTTCCAAAGTATTGAGGACGAGGGGGGGAGGGAGAACAACAGCCTGAAAGAAGGAACTTCATGGATGATCCTACATTCCTCCTTCATTCCCCTCTGCTACAGACCTGGCTTTCACTGGGCAGAATAAGGCAGGCTCTTCAAGTAGCAGATGCTGAGTACAAAGCAGTGACAAGGCACTGGGAGGCACAGCTCCTGCTTCTCTTAAACAGCAGTGAACAATGTTATCCTGGTTACCAGTTTCTATTTGCCAATTTCTTTGACTTCTTATGTACAGAGTTTGTGAATAGTATTTGGGGGATTGTCATGCCCTTTGCCTCAGGCAACAGCATGTCTTGAATTAATCCTGCTCTTGTGCTTGCAGAACTAGATCCATATTCCTTTCTTCATATATGACTGGAGCACCTCCAGTTTTTAAATGCACAGAACAGGACACACGACCTTTATAGGCATACCCAGAAAGTATGCGTAGTACTAAATGGCCATGGAAGGAGTCGCCTTTATGCTTGCAGAATCTCTTCTGGTTTTGGTTTCTCCAAGGACCCCAAGAATCACCAAAAGACATTATCTTAGAAGCCTGAGCCAGAAATGTGTTTTCAACTGAACAGATCTAGAGTTCTTCCATACAAAAATCAATTACTGGTTCCTTTCACTTTTCCTTAATTTCAGCAGTATAACAGGGTAAGGGAGTTCCATTTATTGTTCCTATTATTAATCAATAGTTGTTCACACAGTAATCCACCAGCAAATCCAGATTTGCCCTCTACTCATCCCTATATTAGGCTCTAATCAAAAACTCCTTTTGAAACATCCTTGGCATCTGTAACTAGCTGCTAAGCTCTGTGGAATTCAGGCAGATTGCCCAACAATTAGTTCTAGGTTTTTTTCATAGATACACTAGCCATCTTCCTATTATCTTATGGGCAAGTCTTTCAAATGTTTATTGTAGACATTGTTTACTTATTCTAATTACTTTAATGAGTGTGTATCCCCTATTTCCTGCATTCTAGTAAGATGAATGCCTATAACAGGCATCCAATTTGCTTTTCCTCTAAATGTTGTTGGATGTGTTTCATATGCAGTGTTTTTTTACATCTCTCTCAGCTTTCAGGTATAAAACTCACCATAAATACCACTTCCAAACACCATACTGAGACCAGTAAAAGGAGGTGCAACAATAAACGTACTAAAAGTTCTATTAGCAATTACTGTAGATGGGTGAGATAAGTGGTGAGGGACAACTTGAGATAAAGCAAAAATATGAAAAATTTTCCTTCTATGCTGTTCTATGGAGCTCAAATGTTCATTTCTAAGCGATAACATGCTTAGAAATGTTCTCCACTGAATTGATGTTTTTGAATTGTGGTGCTGGAGGAGACTCTTGAGAGCCCCTTGGACTGCAAAGAGAACAGACCTATCCATTTTGAAAGAAATCAACCCTGAGCGCTCACTGGAAGGACAGATCCTGAAGCTGAGGCTCCAATACTTTGGCCATCTCATGAGAAGAGAAGACTCCCTGGAAAAGACCCTGATGTTGGGAAAGTGTGAAGGCAAGCGGAGAAGGGGACAATAGAGGATGAGATGGTTGGACAGTGTCACTGAAGCTACCTACCAACATGAATTTGACCCAACTCCGGGCGGCAGTGAAAGACAGGAGGGTCTGGTATGCTCTGGTCCATGGAGTCACGAAGAGTTGGACATGACTTAACAACTAAACAACAACAACATCAACAACAACAAAGCAATAGCACCAAGAATACTGGAAACAAGCAAGTCTTATAGTCTGAGGCTGCATCTGAAATCTTTCAGGGCAGAACTGTCAGCCTGCTGATGTTGTACCTGGGGCAAGCAACATCACCTTCCATGTACTGTTTGTGTAGGTAGCGTCTATCACAACCCATTCCCCTGTGCACCTTTGCGAGTTGCAGGGAATCCCCACAAATTTGGCCACCTCTTTCTCCATTCTGTGGTTTGAAAAAGTGGTGTAAGAGTGGCATGGAGATGACGGGTCTGCTGTACCTTGGGATGCTCTCACTCCCAAAATTCAGCCTGGGAGGTTGTCATTGAATTAAGGGACTGAGAGTGCTTTAATTCTAAATATGCCATCCCTAATAAATACTGTTAGGAAGTAACAGTATCATGTACTGCATTAGATAAATTGTCAGGACAACATGCTTCATGTTTCACAACTTTAATAGAATATTCTAACTATTCTGTACAAATTGAAAACACTGTATTAAGTTACAAATGTATAAGGTAAGGCTGGAGCACTCTCTACATGCCTGGTAACAGCATTCATACAGTTACTAACCAACTGTTGCCAGAAGCTGGCACTGTAATGTGTAATGTAATCCTGAACAGATATTTTGATGATTCTGGAGTTTTACAAACCATTGAAGTGTGGAATAGTATGATTCCAATATTACAAATAAAGTATCTGAACTACACTCACTTAGAATATAATTTATATTTTCCCAGTTAAACAACTTTCACAGGCCAGTTCAGATAATCCTCAAAGGTATCCAAAATATTCAATCTTTCACTCCTCCTGAGTATGATACATTACACTTTGTTTTTCTGGTTAGTGTGAACCACACATTGTTTTCATGCTTAAATGCTATGGTTTACATTTGACTTTCAAACCAGAATTCAGGGGAAAAAACCACTTCAAAATACAGTTTTCAAAACTGGTTTGGAAATCAAATGCAACAAAGACTATGCCAATTCAGTGAGGACAAATAATTATGGTTTGTGCCAAACAGAAAGTTGAAAAGTCAAGCTGCACACAAGAAAAGTGTACAAACCTGAGGTTCTCCTCACTGCCAGTTCTTGGTCTACAAGATAATCTGAACAAGGCCTGATGACACAGGCTAACCTTTTAGTGCTGAAACCCACTTTCTTCCAGCTAAGAGGCCTGTCTCTTTCCCAATTTGTTGTTTTGAAAGTTTGATAAGCAATCATTCTGTGAGCAAAGTATGAATTTTCCATGTACAAGTACCCATATTTTTATAAACAGGAAATATATATATATTTCAAGTATATTTAAAACTATTAAAAGCACTAGTTCAAAGTACTTACAAACATGAATAAATAAGGTCAACAACTAAGATCTCTCAACCATCACCACCTTTCAATGAGATAATGAAAATGTTACTTCAAACTCAAATTACTTTTACTGGAGATGACGGTGCTTCAAGCTGCTCTGTAACATTCATCTGATTCAGACATTGCAGAAAACCTTTTAAAGGGAAAACAGCTAGCAGAAATCATATTGCTTCATTTTTGCTTTTTAAGTATTTCGTTAATTTAATATATTCTTATGTGAATTATTCCACAATATTTAGATAAAATTGACTTCATATTGAGGGCAAGTCTTTCAGAAAGGGAAACTAGTATATTTATTTATTTATTTATTTATTTATTTTGATTGGAACGCCTACTGAGACAGTTCAGCTGCAGTGTACCAAAGGCTGTAGAGTGTGCTTTAATTAAACCTCATATTTCTCAAATGCATTAAGTTGCCACTGTACAAGTTAAGCAAAAATAAGAAAAAAGTTAGTGAAAATCATGCATTTGAAACCAATTTAGTTTAAGCATTGTTAATAAGATTGTGCTGCAGCAATGGAATATCCTGAACTGCAGGCCAGGTATCCAAATATTTGTTACAGGTTGTTCAAATATCACTCTGAAGTGGTATTTCCTCATTGTTGTTTGCATTCAGCAGGCTGGCTGGCATCTTTCTGTTTGAAAGAGAAAAGGGGGGGGGGGACAGGAAATTTACATAACAGACATATGCATGAAATAGCAAGTTTAATTCCATTTACCTAAACAAAAACAAATATATAAAAGCAAATTTTCCTAATTATATTAAGACATTCTGATCTACTCACTGTTTCAATATGCTATTTATCGTTAGTATGAAAGCCAAGACATCTTTGCTTATATTATTCATAAGCTCCTTAATTGCAACAAAGGCTCTACTGCACTAAATGAAAGGCTTAGTTGGCACAGCATCCTCTTTCTCACAAAGGCCTAACAGAAGCATACTAAAAGTCCTCCACCTATCAGCAACTGGCGTAGTAATCAAAAGGAGAACAAAACCAACTGACCCTAATGGCACATACAAGGTTTCCCTTCTCAAAACTCTGGATTAGGGGTCTCTAAACTTTTCAGTATGAGAGCCACATCATATATTTTACACATTTTTGAGGGCCGCAGGAGGTAAGGGGTACCCAAGCAATCCCCCACTCCCGCTGCTTTGCAAAGACAGCGGGGGTGGGGGATTGCTTGGGTCACCCTTCCCTTCTCTTCCTATGCTTGGGCTGGATAAAAAGGCAAGGCGGGCCAGATGTAGCCTGTGGGTCGTAGTTTGGAGACTCCTGCTCTAGACAATGTCTTAGCTTTAAAAAAACCTTCTTAACCATGTGACATCTGAAAGTGGAAGTTAAACATCTGAATACACTGGAGAACATCTCACAAGGATAAGCAAGAAGCTGCTCATCAATTATTCTTAAACTATAATAATAATTCATTATGGTCAATAACTTTTTGTTGTTGTTGTTTAGTCGTTAAGTCGTGTCCGAAGATAAAAATACATTATTTGGATAAAATCACATAATATCAGACACATTGGTCAAGACATGTCACCATCAATGCACCGTCTGGCTCTTTTAAAGTTAAAAAAAGTTCTAAATTAGCCAGAATCTTAATCTACATATCTATCCCCCTGACGTTTCAGCAGTTTGAACTATATACATAATCCTGCCCCTTTGATAACATGTCCTTCATTAACAGACACATCCAGTCTTGCTCTTATTCAGAGGTAACACTGAGCTAGGTCCTTCAGATTGCTCGCCAAGCAGGCCACCTTCCTGATACTTTCATTTGCAGTTTCCAAAACAGTCTATCAAGCAAAAATAAAAGAATAATAATAACAATAATAAAAACTAAACACATAACATTGTGCCACCCCAAAGACTATTATATTTTAATGTACACGTTCATGGAACTTCACCCACTTCTTCATAATCTGAAGACGTGGCCAAAGTTCCATAAAAGCTTTCATTAAAATAGAATAGTCTTGAAGGCGCCACAACATCCCACTTCTTCATAATCTGAAGACGTGGCCGAAGTTCCATAAAAGTTTTCATTAAAATAGAATAGTCTTGAAGGTGCCACAACGTTTTGTCCTTTGTTTTACAGTATTTTTATTTTGTTTTTCCTTTATATGTATGCACAGATTAACATTGCTACTTCTTCTAAAATTCCAAAATAGACTAGAACACTATCAATTTAGAGATAAGGCTAAAGATCTAGCAGGTTTAAGAACAGTGGTTCTCGTGTCTTAGAAAATTAGTCTCAAATCAACTTTCTCACACTATCATAAAACACCTGCCAGAGGAGAATTAAAGAATGGGAGTGAGGAACATGTGGCCAGCACCAACTGGATGACCACATTTTCCCCATTCCTGCAGTTCACCTTTTCTTTGTGCTTCTTATTGACATCTACGTACACTGAGCCTGAGAGAGATTTTGGTCATTACCATACATAATCATCTCAGTTTAAAACAAAGCATAAAGACTTGACACCACATTATTTTTTAATTTAAGATCAATGAGAGTGAGACTGGCAAAAGACACGACAATGTGGATGAAATCTGGCAGCTTAGATACACATGTGGAAGGCAAGTGGTATAACATTCAGTCGCTTCTTGCTGGCAATTAAGGACTTGCTTTTGGCATTTTCAGGGGCACATTAGCCATTGACTTGGAGTGTGCAGCAGCACCTTATTAACTGCCAGATAGAAGTGGATGTTATGCCTTTTGCATGAGTAATTAAGCAACAAGGGATTTTAGCCTGTGAAAAGTAGTAGACTGTATGTCCAATTCCCTGCTCACCAGGGAATCTAAGGCTGGAAAAAATGTGTGTAATGGCTCCAACCCTCTTCTAAATTGTATTCACCTCACTTTTCTGGTCAGCATTTTAACTCACCTATTAGTCAAGGTTTTTGCCAGAAGGGAGTACAACATTAAGAATTATTTTTCTCATTGTGATATTCAACATAGATAACAAATTCTGAAAATTAATTCATTACTTAATGTTCAGAGATGTAGGCAAGAATTCTGTTGGTGATTTATATTTTGTTAATAACAAATTGGATTATAGAGGCAGAAAAGAAGTTTTTGTATACACAGGGGTCAATTTCTGATGTCCTATTTTTACATATTCCTTCAGAGCACACTATGATTAGATATATCACAAACCAGCTTGGGTTAATTCAGTACACAAGCTCATTTAACTTGACAGGATACCCTTAGGATCTTCTCTTATGTCATCTGAAAAAAAGTGTGGGTTGGTGACCCATCCTCCTACTTCCTGCAAACTGTTTTCCCCAGCAAATCTGCAAATATCTGCAAAAGCATTTTTAAAAACATGTTTGTGACAAATCTCCTTTTCTTCTTTAGGGCCGTAAGTGGGACAGTAACAGAACAGAGCAGTAATTTCTACAGTAATTCATTAGTCTATTGACTGGAAAAGGTGCGAACATGAAGTAGAGTACTACTGAAGGCTAATACAAAATATCTTATAAGAGATGCAGGCAGCATGAGAGTGGATGAAGCTGCACATTCTTCTTAATTTCACGGAGCAGTGATCACTTTGGTTGTTCTGGGTTTTTCGGGCTCTTTGGCCATGTTCTGAAGGTTGTTCTTCCTAACATTTCGCCAGTCTCTGTGGCTGGCATCTTCAGAGGACAGCAACCTGTGCTCTGCTGTCCTCTGAAGATGCCGGCCACAGAGACTGGCGAAACGTTAGAAAGAACAACCTTCAGAACACGGCCAAAGAGCCCGAAAAACCCAGAAACACCATTAGATCCCGGCCGTGAAAGCCTTCGCGAATATAGTGATCACTTTCTCCCCATGGATACATTTCCAGTGTGAAGAAGAGTTAAGAGATTCAAATGGAAGGTTATTCCTTGTAAATGGATCTACTGGCAATGAAAAATTAACAGTGGGATCCATATATAATCCAAATTAGGGTAGATAACAAATCAATATGATTTTAAGAATTGGTTAAAATTGTGTTTTAAATTTTAAAAATCAATTTTTATTTAAAGTATCAAAAAGTAAGATTTTTAAAAAGTCTTAATTTAAATTAAATGCACTCTGATCTAAACACACAGCACATTTCTTTCCTTCAAAACACATTGTCAAAATTGTCTTCAAGGAGGATGTAATCCTGCTTGGATGTATCTTAATATTACTGCAAGTGCCTTGGATAACAGCAGTAATATAGCTGCACATCCAGTTTCGCTGAAACAACATTTCAGCAAATTCAAATTGAAGGCACCTGGAGGAAACTACACCTCACTGAGAAGTACTTTCTCAAACATTATGAACAAGAGATGAGCATGAAACAAACCAAAAACCCACAAAGCAGGTCAGTTTGTTTCATTGCCATTTGTGGAATGTGACAAACCACAACAAACGGAACCAACAAAATTTACCATCCTGGCCAGACAGCCTGCTGAAGAAGAGTGGCTGCTTTTCATTGAGGATTCAGAAGATGTTGAAGATCTTCTGAGCTCACAATGAGACTGGCCTACCTCTACAATCCACGTTGCAAGAACATGTATCTAGAAGAATGAAGGACCAAGATCTCTATGGAGACTGGCAGGGTACATGGCAAGAGATACGGATGTGGAGAACAAGTGACGCCAAGGCACAAGGGACAAGAGAGGGAGCACTGTCCTCAGGAGCCATGTGCTGGTCCTTCTGTGTAGAAGACTCCCAGCCAGCGATGATGATGATGATGATTTTGATTTATATCCCGCCTATCTGGACGAATAGACCACTCTAGGCGGCTTACAATATAAAATAGAACAATATAACACAACAAATACATAAATAGTGCGAACAACAACTACAATAAAGTAAAAATAGAAAAAATAAGGAAAGAAAATCAAGAATTGGCTGGAGGGAAGGCCTGAATGAATAACCATGTTTTAAATTGGTTTTTAAAGATACCCAGCATAGGGGCTGTGTGAATGTCAGGAGGGACATTCCACAGTGGAGAACTGGGCGATTGCCAGCACTGAGGAGACCACATGGGCTGTGGAAGAGGACTTTGCAGAGCTCATGGTCATGGGTACCTGGTGGAGCTCACTCAGCTACCGAAGTCAGATCCCCTCAGTCCTTTCCGCATAAAAGCAGCACATGGGCAGAGCTGTCCACAGTGGCCATGGATGCCATTTCCTTTCCCCCTATCAGTGTCCAGTGTCAGCAAGGTTTTTTCCATCTCAGCAACATCCTCCAGCCACATCACTCCCATCTGGACCCAGTCATGGTGGAACAGTTGTCCTTCATCAAGGTCAACATCTCTTTGTTGGGCTTCCCTTCTCTGGATGTTCCTAAGTATGGAATGCAGAGCAGCCTGCCTATTTCTTACCTACCCATCCACCCCACCAACCAGAGAGTAACCTCTCTACCTCATAGCTACCTTTCTACTTCAGAGTCATCTGTCTACCTCACCTTAGGCCTCTGGCAGCATGTCCCATCCCATCCCATCCCATCTGTCTACCACCACCACCCCTGACCGCAGAACAACCTCTCTACCTCAAAGCTACCCTTCTATCTCAGAACAATCAGTCTACCTTATCTCAGACCTCCAGTGGCACCTTCCACCTCATCCTGTGCCACCTGTCTACCTCCTGCCAACCGACCTCAGAACACTCTACCTGCT